CTGCGATGGCCCAGGCAAAGCCGAGCTCTCACTTACGGAGGCTCGACCTCAGGCTTCGCTGCAAATGCAGCTGCATTAAGAGAGGCAAAAATCCGTATTTCCCCTCCCAACCTTCCACCGGCCCAAGGACTCACATTTTCAAAACCCGTTTCCTCCTCTGATCCACCACCAGCTCTCAGGGCAGCATTAAAATTGTACATTGACACTTTTTGACTGATCCCAGGTGCTTAAAAACAGCCAGATCCCAGGTCTGGGCTTCCCCCAGCTGCTCTCCCATTATTTCCTTGATAAATGCAGGGACACCAGATTGTGCTCCAGTGTGGAGCAGTAATGCTGATGTATCAACATTTTTGTAAGCCTCAGGTCTTTTTTTTTTTTTTTTTTACGGTCAATAAGTTAAAGGAAATGTCTCCTGCAGACTAAAAGCAGATAGAGAAAAATTCACAGAAAACAAAATAATACAGACACAAGTCCTGTGTCCTGAGTTTAAAGGCAGAAAATCTCCAAAGACATGAAAATTGGTTCATACCACAGAGAAATGGAGGAAATTCTGTATTTTTTCCTGCAGAAAACCTCCTGGTACATTGAAGCACAGCAGCTCCGAGAAGCAAAGAAAGCAGCTGTGTGATGAGCTTGCTCATTCTCTGCCCAGCCAGGACAAGCAGGTGTCCCGGCAGAGGAGTCCCTCGGGCAATGCCACAAGCACACAGGCAGAGCAGATGCCACCAGAACCTTGAGCTAAACCAAGCCACTGTGGAGCCAGGGCAGGCTGCCTGGGGCACACAGCCCACTCCTCCCGCTTGCCAGCTGGCCAGGGGGCACCCACATTCCTGCCAGCAATCCCCTAAGGACAAGGGATGGCAGCACTGATCCTTGTGACACAGGGGCTGCTCCTCTGTCACCTCTCTTTGTGCAGGGTGATGATGGGACAAACAACCCACACCAGCAGTTCTCAGCAGCATGACTGAGGCTTTGCCCAACCATTGCCCCCAATTCCCCTGCCCCACCACAGCTGCCACAGAGGTCTGGGTCCCCCATAGGGATTAGCAATGGGTCTGTCACCTCCATGGGGTGCCCCAGCTCCGGGCAGGGCCATACAGGCCCCCACGGTGGCAGCGATGGGCAGCAGTGTGCTACGGGGACATGGCTCACACACAACCGGCCTTAGCTTAGCTACATGAGCAACAGCTCCGGACTTGAGCTTCCTCCATGTAAACAGACACCCCCTTCCTGCTCACTGCTTCCTTCAGGCATACAGATAACATTGTCTGGCTGGGGAAAACAAGTCCTCTTCATCCCCTTTAGAAACAAAAATCCTCCTGTTGCTGTGCAAGCACTGCCAGACACCCTTCCCCTGCAACTGCTGCCCTAAGAGATCCCCACAGCATCCTATCACCCCCACAGCCCTGTTTAGATAAAGTTAATTAAATCAGGCACAGCTGAGATAGATCCACACACTGCTGCAGCTTGGTTTTTCCCAGCTGTTTCCGCCAGCCCAGAGCCAGCAAAGCAGATGAGCTTCCCTGGTGTACGCTGTTACAGGTGAGTTGCAGCACAAACACACCAGTTTATTTTCTGATTTAATAACTGCTGCCAAAAGCTGTCCTAGCTCTGGAATTTCAAGGGCTACAAGCGCAGTGTCATCAAAAAGTGCCACATATTTTGTGCTCTCCCTGGCTGGTGCGCTTGGGGCTCCCCAAGTGTTTGGGTAAGGCTAAAGCATTTTGGAGACTAAACAGACCAAAGCTGGATGCAACGGTTTAGGGCTGGAAACCTGCCCCAGGGAGAGGGAGAGCAGGTTCTCCTGGGGCTGCTCAGCCCCATCACAACTCTGGGGTCTCGCAGGGATGTGAGAGCCACAGTTTTCATTTCAGAGGAACAGAAATGCTTCATGGTTACCAATAAAAACCTGGAAATGCCGCAAAAGACACCCTGAAGTGTTTGAAAGCCTGGAAGAGGCGAAGGCTCCTCTGTGAGTGACTTTGTGCTGTGGATGATGTTGATGGAAATTCTAGATTTTAGCGTTGATGTGGGGAAAACACTGCTGTTTGGGTTGTAAAATGTCCAATTTCAGATTCTCCCCATAAGCACATTCTCTGCTAAAAAAATGCAGCCACACCATTCCTGATGTTTCTGGGAATTTTACACAATTTTTTTTAAAAGGGAGCCCAAATCCTGGCTTTCCTATAATGCTAGGGGTCCTTCTGGCCCAGCCCCTCTCTGTCCATGCATCCCTTCACAAGGTGGAGAGCATGGGGATGGCTTGGGGGCCTAGCAGCCGGTGCTGGGAGTGTGTCCGGAGCAGCTGAAGCAGACACACAGTCCACGCTGGACCACAAACGATGGAATCACATCGAGCTGTTTTCCTGTAGAATTGTACCATCTGAGCAAGACTGGGTTTTGCTCGTGGTAACAGAGCTCAACCCAGGCTGGGTTATTGCTGACTCAAAATAAGCATTTTTGACGCGGTCTCCTCTCCCCTTCAGCTGCAGATGGGACCAAATCCTTCAGTCGCTACAGTTTGGGGAGCAAATCATCATTTTCTCAAGCCTCAGCCCAAGCATTCACGCACAAGCTCTCCTTCGCCCACCTCCCAGGGGTATTTATAGCACAAAACCTTTGCAGTGCTGGGGAGAGGCTGGTTCCGGTGGCCAAGGCTCCAGAATTTGGGATCCTGCCCCAGCTCTGCTGCAGCGCAGGGTGGGGGGACAGGCTCAGGGAGGATGAGGGAACAAAACGCAGCCGTGCTCCATCTTTTCAACCTACACAGCCCTACAGAAGCGGTTACACACGAGCTCAATTGCCGCGTAAGCGCGCGAGGAACCCGCATTTCTGATGTGCAGGCAGAGGAACATATGGCCCAGCGTATGTAAATGCATTGTCACTTGAAGCATAAAGCAGAGGGGTTTCTGGTGAAGATTTCTGAGCAGAACAGAGGGCAGAAATATAAAAAAAAAGAAGAAAAAAAAAGATGGCAGCAAATCAAATCCTGAGTAGATCTGCAGTATCTAGGTTACCTTAATTATGTTCGGCTAAATATGGATGCCAATTAATTAGATGGCTGCTGATTTCCAAAGAAAATTAGTTTACTCTTAATGAGCTAATCAGTTGCTATTTTAAAAAAAATAATGAAATTATTAGACTGTACAAAGGCCACTTGACACGGAGGGCCAAGGTCTGCTCTGGCTGGGATTTATTGGGTGCAGCACTGCCAGGATTTCCACACGGAACAGGTTGCAAACGGCATCGCACTCCCTCTGCTCTTATCCCACTGGGGCCAGGCTACATTTGACAGGAAAAAAAGGGTAATTTACTGGCAATATGGGGTTATTAGCTTAGGACTGAGGCACATGAGCAAGTGGTGTGTGGATGGGCATCCTCCCAGCTCAGGATCGGTGGCATGGGGAGGGGCTGGAGCGCTCCGAGTGTTCAGACAAAGCTCCTGGTTTTTCGAATATTAATAAGAGTCAAGCTGTGCTCTGCAATTAAAACACTGATTATAATTTCTTCCATCTGTAGCTGATTCTACTCCAGAAATTAAAGAGAAATTCAGAAGAGATGTGAACGTTACATGGGGAAAGTGTCTAAGAGGAATGCCAGGGTGTGGGAAGATGGGGTGCGGGGGAGGCTCAAAGGGGAGCGCTCCTCCATCCCATTGCCACCAGCTCTGCCACCATCCCCTCCTGGTTGGAAATCCCGGTGGGTTTGGTGCTGGGACTTTGCTGTCCAGGAGCCCGAGGGACATCCACCTTCTCCCCATACATGTCTTCCTACGTAGTGTGTCTCTGAGTTACGTGGGGTATGTGCATCCTTAAAGGGAGTGCAGCTCCTCCAGTGTCAAAAATGCTCTCAAAAATGAGTGACTGGGAGCCCCCATGTCCTTCCTCCTGCAGTCCAAGTGCTGTGGGGGATGACCAGGATGCTCAGGGATGAGATGCAGGTGCCAGCTCGGAGATGGAGCTCCAGCATCAGTGCAACCATGGTACCCTGTGGCACTGCCCTGAATTCAAGTTTGGGAAGCAAAGCAAAGAAAGCAAAGGCAATATTTATTTCATGTTTAAGGTTGCTGCTGCCTGGATTTTCCTATGAGAGATGCAGTTCTGCATCTGCCATGGGGACAAGTGCTCGGCCAGGAGCCACGTTGCACACCTTGAGGTCCCACGGGGCAGCTGCTGCAGCATCAGCTGAATTTACAGGAGTTTAAAATCGCATGAGCAAGAGATGTAGGTGCTCATGCGAGGAGCTGGGGCAACTCTTAGCTGGGGAAGCAAAATCCCAGCACAGTGGGGAGAAAGGATGTGTGCTGCGAACAGGATTGACAGTGCAGAGGCGTCTGTGCCTCTTCTCCCATGCAAAGTGGTTTAGATGGGCCCAGCTGCAAAGCGAAGCTCAGCACAGGGCTCCAGGGCTGCTCGTGAGGGGTGACAGTTTGGTGAGGGAGCCTTCAAAATAGATCTTGTGCGAGGTGGCATCTGCTGCAGTGCACAAAGTAAAAGCCCCCAGGGTTTTGCAGCACGAAAACTGGGAGTGCAGCCATGCTCTGCCCCTCAGGCTGCCCAGAGCATCGAATTTGAGGGCTGAGATTATACAGACAAGCTGAAAATCAAGAGCAAGGACCTACTCGGCAAGATGAGGGGCTCCCCGGGGACGACTCTGCTTCCTGGGAGCTGTGTTGGTGAAATACTGGGGTCACAGACCCGAGTGGCCTCTGCCACTGTGAAGGGGCAGGGTGGAGTTGTGCTCTGTGCCTGCCCTGCCCGCACGAGCTTGCTGAGATGCCAAAAACGCTTTTAACCAATGTTTCATTTTGTTCCTAAAGAAAAAACCCAATTAGGTAAGGCAGTTCTAAATCCTCCCTTCCCTGTACAAGAGAACCCCAGTAAAGGACAGCAGAGGCCTCGAGACACAGAGGCGGGGATTCTCAGGTACATCTGCTTAGGGACACACATTTAGGGACCAGCTCTGGATTGGAGTTGCTCCATCGAGGCCAAACCTCTTACCTGCTCGAGGGGGATGACGAGGAAGGAGCCCCCGCCGGCACTCTCTGTTACGATGGCGAGGAAGCGGGCGTTGACGGCACAGAAGTGGTTGTCATGGACGTTCTTGGTGATGGGGATGCCATCGAAGCAGTGCTCCCGGCTCGCCACCTTCCCGTAGACATTCCGAAACTTGGAGCTGCGGTACTGCGGGCGCCATGACATCTGCAGGGCAAATGCAGAGGGCTTAGCCTTCTGAAAATACCCCAACCCAGGCTCTTATGCAGTTGCTTTCCAGTTTCGAACCCCTGCTGCAAGAGGGATTTTGCCTGACGAGGCGCAGCAGTATTAGGGCAGCCCAGATCTGCAGATACAACACCCCCCAAAAAATGTCAGATGCCCCCCTGGCACAAGGCACAACTCACAAAAGGCATTAAAAGGCTCTCTACTGTTGCAGAATTTAAGCTGATCTGCTTTCCAGCATGAACCACTTATCTAGAACACACAGCACTACTACTTCATGTGCATATGACAAATGAATTAAGGCTTTTAATGCGATGACTTGGAAATGGACTGGCCTGGACCACACAAAAGCTGCATCAGGGCAGAACGAGAGCACTTAGCCAGGGAGTGAGCATCGGGAGAGCTGGTACACGCTGCATTCCGCTGTCTCAGCTTATTTCACATGGGTGTCCTACAGAATCCCAGAATCATCTCAGCTGGAAAATACCTTGATGGTCATCCAGTCCAACCATGACCCTCACACTGACCGTTCTCAACTCCACCAGATCCCTCAGTGCTGGGTCAACCCGACTCTTCAACCCCTCCAGGGATGGGGACTCCCCCCCTGACCTGGGCAGCCCATTCCAATGCCCAACAACCCCTTCTGCAAAGAAATACTTCCTAAGAGCCAGCCTGACCCTGCCCTGGTGCAGCTTGAGGCCATTCCCTCTTGTCCTGTCACTTGTTCCTTGGTTCAATAGACTCACCCCCGCTCTCTGCACCCTCCTTTCAGGGAGCTGTAGAGGGTGATGAGGTCTCCCCTCAGCCTCCTCTCCTCCAGACTAAATCCCCCCAGTTCCCTCAGCCACTCCCCATCAGACCTGTGCTCCAGACCCTGCACCAGCTCCGTTGCCCTTCTCTGGACACGCTCAAGTCATTCAATGGCCTTTTTGTGGTGAGGGGCCCAAAACTGAACCCAGGAATCGAGGTGCAGCCTCACCAGTGCCGAGTACAGGGGTCAGATCCCTTCCCTGTCCCTGCTGGCCATGCCAGTGCTGACACAAGCCAGGATGCCATTGGCCTTCTTGGCCACCTGGGCACACTGCTGGCTCCTGTTCAGTCGGCTGGCAGTCAACACCCCCAGGTCCCTCTCTTGACTTGTCCCAGGTCCTGTGCTTGCTGCAGGCCAGCTGCCATCGCTGCAGTGCTGGGATGCTCCCAGGGACCCCTCAGCTCATGCCAGTGGACCAGGGATCCCAAGGACCCACTGTCTTGTCCTGCTTCCTCAGAGCCCAAGCACTGCAGCTGCACACACAGCAATGAGTGTGCTTTCACTTGTCCTCCCCACTTTGCTTTTTCTAAGTAAAAAAAACCCAAGACTGCTTTTTTAATTTCAGTCTTCTTTTGAACAGTCGTTACAGTAGCACAAGTGTTCACAATGAAATCTATGAAGATTTAAGGCACTTTGGGTGAGTGTTTAAGCCACTTTAGAGCAACATAAGTACTCAGCTCTATCTGAACACACCATAATTGCATGCCTGAGGACTCGTAGCCATTTGTCATCTTCAGTTACGCATTTACTCACAAAAGTATGTAAGTGTGTACTGGGTCATCCGCTGAGAGCATCCCTCAGCAAGGGGCAACACCATAGAAATGCTCCGGTGGTTGCTCTAATCCTAAATAAACCCCACTCCCTGCTTTTCCCCAAACTCAACGCCATGGTCGCAGAGCTGGGAACACAGTGTGCTTGAGCAGTGTGTCCCGCATGGGAAAGGGAATGCTTTAAGGCTGGAAACAGCCTTTAATGGTGATTCCATCTCTAACTTATATGAACAAGCTCATCGACTTAACTCAGGGCTTTGAGGCAAAAGGCAGAATAAGGAGAAGCAGAGGGTAATGTCCTGCGCCGTGCCTTGCAGGGCTGATGTCAGGGGACGTGTCGCCAGGACCCCACGCAGCTAGATCCCTGCCATGCAGATATTCCTCACCACATCTGACACCCTCCCTGCCTGCAGAAAACCTGCCTGGCCCTGTGTGAGGATCTCGCTGCGCTGCCCTGACTCTGCATCCACCCATCACACCCCAAATCCCAGCTGTATTGTCCACCCCTTACAGCACAGACGCGAGGAGCATCCTTCTGAGGATGCACGGCAGCGCCGGGGCTGCACATTTGCTGTCAGCAATCTGCAGGCCACAAGGAAAAAGAACACAGATACTTGAGGATTTAACCCGAAACAAGAGCGGAGAGACATTTTTGGCTGGAAAGGCTTCTGTTCTGAAAAAATGCAGACTCACGTCCAACAAAGCTCTGTGAATCTTTGCCAAACCTACCCAAGCGGTCGGAGCCAGGCAGGGCAGGGAAAAACGCCCCAACCGCAGCTTTAGGAGTGGCTTTTAAGAGTTTCACTCAATCTTACATTTTCCTTTGTCTGAACAGATGAGTTTTCGTAGTGAAATTAGAGGTTTTTTATAATGTTAAAAATGCACAAAAATGTATTTTGATATCTTTTAAGCTCTCGATTTGCTTCGTGATCCCAGGACTTTCTGCCAGCCCTGCACCACTGCTCTGGACCTATTGCAAAAAGGTCCCAATTTCTACTGAAAGGGTGATTTGCTCAGTCCTTCCCCCACTAAACTTTTCAGCACATCCCCATGCAGAAGAAATCCCACAGACACCACCACCACCCCCCCCCGTGGAAACCCCTCTGGCACACAGGTGTAGCAGAAAAGGGGCTTCCAATATTTTCTGCATCCAGAAATTCATCTTAACAAGTTGCTGCCAAATGAAGCGCCAGCACAATCCAGCTCCAAGCAGCCCGGAGATGTGTTTTTACCGAATGTGGATCCTCACGTGGGTGCTATGGATGCTCCCTAGTCGCCGCGGTCCCCAGCCACGAGGGTGATGCTGCTTCCAGGACCTCGGTTCTTTTGCAACTTTTTTTTTTTCTTTTTTTTTTTTCCCCAGCCCTCCTTGTATTATTCTTTTCACCAAACACTGGGCAAGTCTCCACACAGCCCCCGCCACGCCGGGAGGAAGCAATAAGCTCAAGTGCCTGTTTCGTTGGAGAAATCCAGAGTTTCTTTCCTTTAACCTCAGTCAGTATTTCCTGTACATAGCGTCACATCACCCCGCGGCCCCGGGGATGCAGACAGCCCGGAAACGCTGGAAAAATCCCTGGCAAGGGGCTCAGAGCTGCCCAGAGCCGGCATTGTGCGGCGGGCAGCTCCCAGCCGGGCCCTTTCCTGTAGATTTCTGGATTTGGCAGACAGTGGAGACTTTCCTGTGCCAGAAATATCTCTGTGCACCACGTGGGAGAGCCGGGGACTTGGGGGGGGCTCATAGGGGTCCCAGCCCCACCAGCTGCAGCGAGCATCAGCCTTTGGATGGAGAGGGTGCTGCAGTGCGGGAGGAGTAGGGAAAAGCAGCTGATGGGAGAGTTTCACACTGATGGATGGGAGATTTTGGGTTGAAAAATAAAAAGCTCAGCCTCCTCTGCCCCTTTGACTGGCTCCGGAGCAGGCTGCTCCTGCCAGTGTTTTGTCCCATAGCTGAAGCGAGGTGCTCAAGAGGTAGGCGGGCAGGAAAAGTCCACCTTCAAAATGTCATCTTTGTGTCTGGTCCTTCAGCAGATGGCTGTGGTGGTGCTCCCCGTCTGGAAAACGTCCTGGAGAAGCAGCGTCTTGCTCTGCAGAGCCGTTTACACCCCTGGGTTTGGCAGTGGAGGTGCTGCCAGCACCCGAGGCTGCCACACCCTGCTAAGACCCCTTCCCCATGGAGCCCACTAGGCTGTAGGAGGCTTTGCCTACAAATAAAAACCTGGAAAGTTATTCTGGCTGAGAAAAAAATCAGCAGTTTCCCATTGCATTATCCCATTTGGATGTTCTGGTGAGTGATATTTCAGTTCTGGATTGATGAAAACATCTAGTTTCTAAGCAGATGCCAGTTTTATTTTTCCATTTAATTTTATTATGTATTCCTACACTTGTTTTTCCCCAATATATATATTTAAACCTTCTCTTTGAAGCCAGTGTCTGCAGACAGACACAACTCTTGGGGCTTCCAAGGATCCAGGGGATGGGAAAAGCAGCAGGAGCCCTCTGGTTTCTGCCAGCAGCCCACGGTGGCCACAGCACTGAGCCCATGGCAACATCACTGGGGACATCACAGCCCTGATCTGCAAAAATTTCTGCGGTGTCCAGCTGTTCCCAGACAAGAGCTCAAGCCCATGTGCAAGGCCACCAAGGGACCTTAGGGATGCCAAGAAGAAGGAAGTCAATGAAAACCCAATGTGCAAAGGGTGATACACAGCCCCTGCACCGCAAATATGGCCACCATGTGGAAAGTAATCCCAGCAAAATCCATGGTTTCACAAGAAACACCATTTTATGATGGAAAACTGTTGAAAACATGTTGAAGTTTCTAGCCAGGAGGATGAAAATCTCCTATCCCACAGTCTCTGCAATCCAAGGTAGAGGTATATTTTCAAATGAGAAATAGTTTTGTATTTTACTTATTTATTTTCCCTCCATGTGCTGCTTTGCAGAGTCCTTCGCTCCCCGGGGTTTCCGGGCTCCGAGGGGCCACGCTGGAGCTCAGTGCTGGACAAACATCCTATTTCCTGACCAGGCTAGCAAAGGCTTTTGAAGATGAGGAGGGTGGATGTTGGGATGCTTCGGCACCGGCGGAATGCAGCTCAGCATACCCCCTCCGTCACAGAGTATTCTGCAGGTGGTGCTGACGTTTCCCAGTCGGGGAGGAAAACAGCCCCTTCCCCAAAGGAGTTCGACTCAGGCGAGACAAAGTGGGAGAGAAAAGGCTGGAAAAAGTGACCCAGACATGGTCCCACACCGGCCCCACTGCCTCATGCTTCCTCCCGGGGGGATGGCAACAGCAGCCAGGGGCTTTGCACGGGGGTTTACATGCGGAGATATCCAGCAATTCTGGAAGTTATTATCCAAAGCATTTGCAATCCTACAATATATAATTTTTATGAAACTAGCTTTTTGTGTAATTCTCTACATTCTGCTGATGCTAATGGGCATCTTTATTTTTCCATCACCTCACTCTCAATGGCTCAGAGGCATTAAAAAAAGTATTATTGATTTATTAAAGTCATTTCCATCCATCTCCAGAATCAGACTAATGTGCCACCATTTCCAAGGTTCATTCTAGTTCTGCATTATTCTTGGACTCTGTTTTTTCCTTTCATTACAAAATTCCTCCGTTGTTCTGGGTTGAACAGAACTTACATGAAAAACAAGAGTATCACATCCCCAATCACGACATTCAGCATCAACATTAACCTTGTGAAACAAGCAGCAGCGGAGAAATTCTCCTCCCTGCTCCAGCATTTTTAGGCTCATTGCAATGTTTATACTTATTTAAGTGCTTGAGGGGAATAGCGTGTCCTGAAATCCCAACCTGGAAGGTGGAAATTTCCTTTGTTTCAACAATCTTAGCAGAAAACAGGTGAGCTGGGGAGCCCAGAGCAGGGGTACAGGCCAATGTAGAGCATCTCTTTCCCCTTCCTCTGCTCCCCGCAGCAGCCCCGGGCAGCACTGCCATCCCGCTCCTCCTCTCCAAACAAAAGAACAAAGCAGCTCATTGAGGTTTCATAATCCGAGCAACGATATCTGCCACCACTGGGCATCCGCACACAGGCTGGGGGGAACAGCCCTAGTTTAGCAAAACTACTTCACTGAAGGGGCAATGCAGAGGAGCACCAGGTTGTTTCTGTGTGTCATTGCATCAGTTTTTGCGCAGGTCCTCAAAACCAGAGGAAAACACACAGATCTGAAGGTGGGGAAGGACCTCAGGGACAATATTATAGGCAAGGAGCCTGGTGTTTGCAACTCTGGGTGAAGTCTGCAGCACTCCCTGGCACCTTTGCAGAGCCGCATTAATATCTCACTTGACCCTGCCCCACTGAAAATGCAGCTACGGGGAGAAGGCGACCAGGAGTGTGTCACGTAGGGTGGTTAGCAAGAGATTTTCCACACACGATAGGCCTGGATTAAGGTGCTGATGCTGAGGAGGGGCTGCAGCCCAGTACCATGGAAGGGACGGGCACGTTTCCTTCCCCAAGAGCACAGGCTGATCCGTGCACGGAGGTTGCAGAGCCCTGACTTCCCTCCTTTCCCCATCTATCCTGGGAGCTGCACTACAGCATCACCTAGCACAGGGCTGACCCACGAGCAGGAAGTGGAGGCATCTGCCTGAGCAGCACGAGGAGCATCCCATGACAAGGAGCAAAGCAACCCTGTGGCTGCGGGGGGGGCGGGGGCAGAGCTGCCCCATCCTGGACACCCCACGAGCTCCTGCTTCTTGCAGGGTGAGGAAATAAGTTTTTAAGTGGCTGCCATTTGGTTTTATAGCAGAGAGCAACTTCAGGAGCAATTGCATTAAAAAATACCAAACAAACAACTTTTTATTTTGCAAGTTTTTCTCTAGGATGGAGGACTGGTACCCGCCCCTTGGCCCCCATCAGCTGGGACGAGCAGATGCTGTGGGGCAAGCGGACCTGACCCATATGTCCCAGTCAGCCCACGCAAACCCCACGGGGACCAGCTCTGCCCACATCCCCTGGGAACGGCACTGCCATTCGCCTGGAAAAAAAAAAGAAAAGGAACCAAGAAGCAAAAACCCAGCCCCTCTCTGAAGGCTTTTCTGATCTGCTGGCAGCTCCAGCCTTTGCCTACCAGCAGCAGCAGGACACAGCTCTTGTCTCAATGTGTTTATTTTTAAATGCATCTTTTCAAGCATCGGGAGTCTTGGCAACAGCAGCCGGGAGGGAGAGTTTGCGCAAAGAGCCCCTCACGCTGCAATAGGCAGTTACAGAGCACAGTGGACTGTAATCCCTAAAAAATCTGTATTTCCTATATATAGCCCCATTTAATCTGCCCCAATCATGAAAGCTTTACAGGGAAATGAATTTCTGCTTTCACCTGTATGAAGCAGTTGTTTTTGGGGGGGTTGGCAATACACACACCCCCCCCCTGCCCTGGCACAGTGGGAGCCCCTTCTCCTTTACATGGTGCCCCCCAGGGTGACAAGGGCGCTGTGGCACCTACAGCAGCTCTTTGGGTTGCTACGATGACACATAGCATCTCCCATGGCCTTAGAGAGGTTTTTTAATGGGAAACCAGTGCTCTTTCATCATCACTCCCCCATTTCTTGTTCTGCACACAGTTAAGCGTCAGGGTTATGGTTGACTAGCAAGAAAAAGATATTTGCATGAAAAAGTGTGTTGGGAAAAGGAAATCCAACATTCATTGTTTGCCTAGAAAATCTGGGGCTTTCAAGAGGGGTTTTGTGGCACTCCAGGAGACAGTGCCTTTCCAAAATCACATTATGCTCTTTTTTCTTGCCCCCTCCTGGCGCAGGCAGAGGTTCTGGTGAGCATCCCCCCATCTGGGGCTTTCCAGTTAAAGTCAAGGCACAGTTTTGTATGAAAAAACCCAAATACAACTGAAACCTACCCCCTCACTGCCCTGGTGCCCCCCTTGCATGGGGTTATTTTCCATCTCTCCAGAGCCAGCACATTGCCTGTGCATCCCTGGCAGCCGCTGGGCAGAAGTTATTTTCCATCAGAAAGGTCAGCGATGCTCGAGTTTGAAGTTTCAAGTATTGATCAGCCATTAAGGCAATGAAGTGTTACCGGCAAAACAAGAGCTGCTTTTCGGCAGGTCTTAACCAAGGAAATGGCTTCATTTGTAGGAACCACAGAGCTGCCTAATCCCCCCCACCCCCGCCCAGGGACACCCTTCACAGCTCCCTCACAGCTCGCTTGTGCAGTGAGTGGGGAAGAAAACAAAATAGCTCAAATTTTTTTAAGAAAAGCCACTACCAGACTCACTGCCATGCCACACTCCTGAGCATGCTGCACACGCCTTCCAGAACAGAGCCATCATCCCCAAAGCCCCCTGTGAGACAGGCACAATCCTGCTCTGGTCCTGATGCTCCTCCACACCCAGTAACATCAGCACTAGGGGGTTTAGGAGCCTCGTGGCCTAGGGGGGGGTTAAACCCCTTCGCAAAGGACGTGATACATATTGGCCATGGACTTGAGGGGGAGCCCAGGCCCCGCAGCAGCCAGGGGCAGGGGACCTGAGCCGGCGGAGCGCTGAGCAGAGCAGGGCTGTGCTCATACCCTAAGTCAACACTGGAAAAGAGCAAAACACCGTCCCCGCAAGCCGGATGTGGTGGGGGAGCCCCTGCAAAGCCACCTCTCCACCCCAAGCCCGTCCCCACTCACTTTGCCTGAGAAAAGCCAACATTTTTTCCACTCAGAGTGGAAAAAGCCCAAGCAGGAGCTGGCAGACCCACTTGCAGGCTGCAGCAGGATGGTGTCACCCCGAGACATGTCCTGCCCAGACTCCTCTGGACGCGGAGGATGGGATCTGCTCAGTGTATGCACAGTGCATTAGCAAAGCATTTATGCAGGATTTATGCTGCTGGAATCCACTCCCTAAAGAAAAGCTTGAAATTAAACAGCTATATTTTGATAAGATACCCAGCATTGCCAAAATTAGTCATCAAATGCTTATTGTTCCATGCACATTAGATTAGAGCCAAACAAATGCTGATTTTAATCTCTCCACTACTCTAATGCTCTGATGCTTCTCAATTCAACCTTGAAAACGGCTTTTGTTCACATTAATGGCTTTCATGCTAACGAGGCTCGGTAAGATTTAACATTTAGGCACATCCCGTTCTTCATTTTAATAACAATTCCGCCACAGAGAGCAACACATGTTCACAGTGTGCAGGCGTAATTCAACCACCAAACGCGTCTGAAAGTCCAGATTTAGCGTTGCTGCAGGACTGATGCTTCGGCCGGGGCACCGGGGCGCGTCTGCAGCCCGAGCTTGACTTAAAAGCAGACGGGCTAAGAACTGCCGAGTCTCTGGTGTAAATTAAGTGGTTTCTCTTTTGTGCCAAGGGACCTTCAGAGCAGAGCCAGCCAGTTGGGCTCTTGGCTCGCTGGGGCTCAGCTGCTGTTTCTATGCATCTCTCTGTCTCAGCCTTATTAAAATGCCCTGCGCGGGACACTCACCAGGCTGCCGTGCTTGCTTCCCAGCACGCTAGACTTGTGGAGGTCTCTCATTGACTCGACAAGAGCTCTGTGCAGAGAGGGAAAGCAAAAACATTCAATTCACCATCTCGGGAGGCTGAGATAAAACACACAAACCCTTCCTGCTTCTCCGTGCTGCAGCGCTGGGCAATGCATGGCAGGGTCTGACCCCCACGGGGCTGTTCCCAGGTCACTGTGGCATCGCCGGCAGCAGGGCACAAGGCTGAGCCCCCCGAGCTGCTGGCAGCACCATCACACCGACCCCCGTCTCCTCCTCCCGGGCGACTGCCAGCCCCGTATGCATCGCCGCCTACTTTCTTCTAGAGAACAAAGTAATTCCAACACAAACAGGTTTTGCTCCTGAGACTGTTAGCAAATGGAAGCATTTACCTGACTCATACACTGCTAACGTGCTCATTAACCTGTCCGCAAACCTTGGGATCAGCGGTGGGATGTAAAGAAACATCTATTCATACATCCAGGTGTGGGATATGATCTTGCCCAGAGCCCCCCAAACATCGGCATGGGGACGACCGCCCCTCGCCTGCCGCAGCCAGGGCAGGATCGGGCCCCAAGCCCCGTGCGGGGACAGCCTGACATGGCAGCGGGGCTGCGGTGGCTGCGACAGGCGAGGGGCTGCTCCGCACAGCCTCCCCCTTCCTCGGGGAAGCGCAGGAGGGGGAACACTTTTTTGCTGGATATTTTCAGTGCAATCACCTTTTTGCAAGCAGCAGAAATGGGGGTGTTGCACTGAGCTGTGGGGAGAAGCTGTTTCACCCGCTGCCATGGAGAAAACTTCTGAAATGACGCACTTCCAAAGGCTTTGATTTTAGAATTTGTGCTTCTCTGCAAGAAGCTCGCATTTGACCTTTGAAAAAAGGCAGTTTGTGTGAAATCCAGCACAGGCTGATGGATGCAGCTTGTTGATGCTTTCCCTAGCCCATGCAGCAGCCCCAGGCATCAGGGACATCGGCCAGAGCCCTGCACACCCGCATCGGGCTGACAACATGCAGCAGCATGCCAGCGATGGTGATCGGAGCCCCAAAACCAAATTCTGCCAGCCTGAGACTTACAGAGGCCAGGGAGGCAGAAGGGGGTTAACTGTTGAATGAGGTCGCTCAGGATTATATATTGACCACTAAAAAGCAGTTATGGGTACTTATGAGACAAGCAAAACTGCAGATCCCATTACAGCATAACTATGTTGATAATGAAGAATAAAGCTCCCCATTAAGACTCCATGCAGCTATTATGGTTTGGATGGTTCAGTAGTTACGACTCCAAGATAACATCAGCGGTGCAGCGGGACCTCATCCATCTCCTGCTGCCGGTGGCTCCCGGGCCGGGGCTGGGGACGGTCTCAGCTCTGCTTGCCCCAAGCCCCTGCCCCAGGGTCTCACACAGACTCCTGCGATCCCCTCCACAGCAGAAATGCTGCCTGGAAATGCTCCGTTGCCAGCACCATGGATGCAGTCCCAAATGCCATCAGCATCGTGAAGCTGCTTTTTCTTTCAGATCAAGTTTTTCTATGCATGTTTCGATCCCTCAGTAAAAAAAAAATAAAAAATTGTACATAGCCCAAATAAGTTATAAATGTTCAAGCACAGAGAAAAGAGTCTCCCTGGGAAGAAGCATTTTTCTCCTGGTCCTGATACGGGTTTGATCCCCATGGAAAGCTGATACACAATTGCATAATTTTTGCTTTATTGACAGAACGTGGAGCCCCGGGGCACTGCGCCGGGTAGAGCTCAGCAGGCGCCGAGTCACGGGCACGACAGTCCTCGTCCCTGCCAGCTGATGCCAGCTGATGCTGCACAAGGCCGTGTGTGATAAAGCCCTCTTAGCCCTCTCTCCTCTTGTGGGCAGAGGGGAATCAGCTGGGCAGGGAGAGGGTCCTCCTGCTCCCATCCCACCCCACCAGCTTCATTTCCATCACCTCCTGACAGGGCACAGCGCTGAAGCATCTGTCTCATGGCTCATGTGTGTTTGTACCACTGCCAAGAGAGCCCTTGTCCCCTGTCCCCACCAGCCCTTTACACATACACAGCCCATCAAGCAGGGAAGAGCCCTTCAGCCTGCTCTTGACAACACTTTGGAGACACAAACCCTACAGTAACCAGCAAAGCTCCTTGTTTTCTCCTTATTTATGCATCTGGCTGATGGCACAAACAGCTGGAGCGGCAGAGGGAAGCTGAGCGAATGGCTTCAGCTCTGCACCCACCACAGGAAACACCTTTGGGCTCTAATAAACACCAGAATAAATGTCCTGAGTGGGGCCTTGAAAAAGACCCTGTTCCCATCAAACAGGCTGTCATGTCCCCATCCCCGCCGTCCCACTGCGCTTCGCCCTGCCCAACACAGCTGGGCTGTGCGATGGCGACGAGTTTGGCAAAGCTCAAAATCTGCTGGGGAGAAAACGGAGGGGGGGGGGGGGGGGGGGG